TACAGGAGGCCTTTGTTCACCCCCCGGAGCCGTGTGAGACACTTTTTTTAATGGATGGGCGCTTTTTATTTAACTTCTTTTGGACTGAAGCACTGCAACACCCGCTGACTGCAATGATAGAGCTTGAAAGATCAAAGACTATTTTTAATATAACTCCGACTGGATTCGTCTGAAAGAAGAAAGTCATATACACCTAGGATGCCTCGGGGGTGAGTAAAACGCAGCCTAATTTTCATTTTTGGGGGAACTAACCCTTTAAGCTAAACAGGGTAACGCTTACAATTTTGACAGCATTTATTAACCTTTGTTAACGCAAGTTAATAAAAATACAGTTGTTCATTGTTCGTGTTAGTTCAGAGTGCATTAACTACTGTTAACAGATACAACTTCTGACTTTAAACGTGGAAAATTAACATTTACTAAAATTAATAAATGCTGTAGAAATATTGTTCGTTGTCATTTTGTTTTAACAAATGTAGTTAGCTCATTTTAACTAATGAAAACTTGTTTGTTGTTTTAGTCAAAGCCCAAAACAAAGATAAAAATGCTTTTTTGCACACAGTGGTTATGCAATAAATATGCATTACATAAAACTTTACTTGTAAACACTGTTGCTTCCTGATAAATGTACAGTAATGGTGTTATTGGGTGCTACAGTTTAGAGAAGATACATTTTCAGCATTCATATTAAACTGTTCACCACAAAAAATCAATCGCTGTCATTATTTACTCATTACAACACATACAGCCAAACCAAAATGTATTCAGACATTTATTCAGATATTATTTCTCACATTATCACAGTTTATTCGCTGTAGTTTAGAAAATGGTAATGAAATATGACAAGAACTCAGAGTTGAACTGTGTCAAGAACAAATTCATCTTGATAATGTCAGATAACTTTGATAGAAAGGTGTGTCATGAATTATGTTGAATAGCTGCCAGCTGTTAAATTTAAGAACACAATTAGATAAAACCAATTTAGCTCAACCAATTACCAAGCAATGCTTCATTCTGTTCAGTCTGTGGTGTAAAAAGGTCGCATTAGCAATTAAAGAGATAACACTGAAACAAAACATGCTCAGCTCAAAGCGTCTCAATAATTTTTGCTCCCAAATTTTACTGGTAGTACACTGTATGAAGAATTTTTGGGTATAATTTGTCACAGTTTACTTTATTTTGCTATCATCACTTACATAAATGAACTATAGTGTCCTGCACCCACTAGTAAAAAAAATCAAAAATGATATCTGGTGTCTGAATCATTTTTGGTTTGACTGTATCATTCTTACGTTATATGTTTTCTTTTTAATAAATTTACTGTAGTGCTCTTTTCTAAGTTTAACTTGTTATTCTCCTTTTTCTTCCCCATTTGGACGGATTGGGCGAATACTCTTTTACATATTGAAAAATATAACATTTAAAATTATCCTTTTACTCTCTCTACAGGCCGATGGCTACAAGAGTGTCAAATCTGACTGAAAACTGACGAGTCAGTGGGGCATCTCACCAGGCATACCTTCTCCAACTTCACTTTTCAGATTTTCAATTGGGTTTAACAGACAGAAAGAAAACTTAACGATTTAAAGATTGAAAAAGAAAAGAGAAAATCTGCTGGCCAATTGCTTTTCCACAGAGACAGACGCAAGAACCCCCTCATTGACTCCACGACTAACATCTTGTTTTCATTAAGAGTCGTTAGTGGAGCACACAGTAGCCCTCACATTACTGCTCACACAACACTCTCTTTTTCAGATTTCCCCCCCCTTTTTAACCCTCTCATCGCAGAGATTTCCCAGCAATGTTACATCGCTGAACTCACAAAAGAAAACCTTCACCGTTTTAAAAATTGAAACACAAATTCTCTTTAACCAATATTAGTTTTGTTTTTTATGGAAACACACAGTTTATTTTTAAGCGTCCAATGAAAAATATTAAGGTGTGGTTTTAAATAGTTGACAGTAAAAACACACTTTTAATAATTATTACATGCCTGCCTATACTGAAACACAAAACTTTCTGTGCTTTTGACCAACCAATTTCCTACACCTTTCGTATCACTCCAGAGCCCCAAGCAATGATTTCAGCTCCAAACTATGTGTCATGGCTATTTATGTATTTTTTTAATAATCAGGATAATGATCAGGCAGATTCTGCTTCACTTTGGGGTCCTGATCACCCCTGTTGAGGTTTATTTTGCTGCTGAGTGTACGTTAACCCTAACTACCACATGTATGTGGGTCAAAGACGAAAAAGGGTTTAAGCATAAAAACAATAAGTGTAATACTACTTTAAATTGTTGTTGTTTTTCCCCAAAAAAAGTAAAACATTTTCTGTTTAATTTAATTGCAATTTTGTTTTTGTTTTTCTGAGCAAAAAATAAATATCATACATTTTTTCCTGATTTACTAACTAATTAGTTGTAATTTTAAATTTTTTTAATTTGCCACTATCCTAGGTTTTGCCCATTTGTCAGTAAGAATTTTTTACTCATTTAAAACGCAATCAAATTTAATATGCTCCCTTATTCTTTTATATATTTTAATATGTACACGTCAGAATAAGCATGTTGTTTGAATTTTTACATAAATATTGTGTTACACTGAATGACAATGTGACATTATTTCAACCAAATTTTGACATTTTATTCTCCAAAAACTTATTTGAAACCTTAAAAGTAGACACTTTACTTACATTTAATGTGCTTTCTATGGACATAAAATCACTCTTGTAAATTTATTTTGATGCGGACATCTTAATGTCTTTGACCCAAGTGCATAGCTGCTTTGTGAGCAAAATAAATGGTTTCATATTTATTCTCATCTCGGTTTTGGCCTATATTCAACTCCTATTGACCACGCGGTTTCAGCCGGGTGCTACATTTATTTTAGAGACCCACTAAAATCTACTATACATCAGTAGATGACGCAGTACTAAAGTTATAAATATTAAAGTAGAAAAGCATGAATGTTTCAGCCAACTTCGGCCTCCCCGTTTACAGGCCGCTCTCTACTCCTAAAGCTCACGGTGAGCTCAGTAAAGACACCTGACCTGAAGATAAAGCGTGAAGGAGGACTTACCCCAGCCTGGAGGAAGAGCCCCGAGCGGGTCATTCTCCACCACACCTCCGGACGACTGTGACAGACAAACAGAGACACACACAGACTGCAGTTAGGACTCGAGTTTCTCAAGCTTTTCAGCAGAACCTGCTCAAATAAACTACCGACCCAAAAAGCAGCAGGACCATACAAACTCCAGCCGCACTGCAATAAACCCTGTTTCTGAAGCCAGCAGCTCACAGAGTTTGCCTCACGCTCTCAGAACGAAGGTGTTGGAGAGCCTAGCCAGTGCCGTCCAAATACTACATGCCTGCTATGGGCAGAAAACACACACACACACACACTGTGTTCCAGTGATCTCACTGGCTGCGAGAAAGCCCCACCCTGTCTCCATCCGCCCAATCCCGACCCCACCCACGCCTCCGTCCTCTTCTAGCGGAGCTGTGAAAGTACACAGGGAGGCGCGATGTCTGAGTGGACTGAAGCGGACATTCATGAGCGCTCCAGATGGCCCAGCCCCCCACCGGACAAAAGCACCTTTATTCCCCACCATGGCTGTGTTTACTCTGTGTGTGTGTGTGTGTGTGTGTGTATGTGAAAGAGTGTGTGCGCGTGTGTGTGTCTGTGTGTGTTTGGTGCACGGAAGTTTAATTTATTTGTACACCCAAAACATCCACCCAGTGCGCGTGCTTTAGATGGGCATAATTATATATGAAAAACAGTCAAACGCAAACTCTGTGGGCATGTTTGTGCATTTATACTCCTAAAAACAATTGAAAAAAGCTCTTTTTCTTAAAGACGACATTACAAAGCAAAATGAGCAGCACACTTTTAAACTATTTTAATCCATGCTGGAATATAACTACACCTTCAGAAAGGTAACAGCATTGACATTAAACCTTGAGCCAGACATCATGTAACCATGCGCTTTTTTGAGAGAGGATTCAATGCACAGATTTTCACATATTTTCACAAAGCAGTCATAAGTAGCAGGGGTATATTTGTAGCAAGAGCCAAAAATACATTGTATGGGTCAGAATTATAAATTTTTCTTTTATGCCAAAAATCATTAAAGATAGTAAGTAAAGATCATGTTCCATGAAGATATTTTGTCAATTTCCTACCGTAAATATATTAAAACTTAATTTCTGATTAGTAATATGCATTGCTAAGAGCTTCATTTGGACAACTTTAAAGGTGATGTTCTAATTTTTTTGCACCCTCAGATTCCAGATTTTCAAATAGCTGTCTCTCAGCCACATATTGTCCTATCCTAACAAACCATACTTCAATGGAAAGCTTATTAATTCAGTATAAATCTGAATTAATATGATGTATAAATCTCAATTTCAAAAAAATTTACCCTTATGACTGGTTTTGGTCCAGGGTCACAAATACACTTTTCAATGATCGATTTTATATAAACTATATTATGAAACATTTCCCCAGTGAAACATTTAAGATTGGCATTTCTGTATGGAACAGTCTGTTTTAAAACATGGCACATTTGTTTTTATACTTGCCTTAATCAAGTCTTAATCATCTGCATATATTTTTATCAATTTATATCATGTAATTCCATTTTCTCTCATCCACTTTGCTTGCTATTTAAAGGTGAATTGTGAAGCAATTTCTGCAACATAAGCGTCATTAAATGGAAAAGCTAAAATAATGCCTGGCTTTCCTCATCTGCCCCATCAAGCAGGTAAACCTGCCCCAAACTCACACCACTGGTCAATGTAGAGTCACAGAGCCACAGTATTTATACTGTTTAAGGTAACTAACCCATAAAGGCTTTATTATAGTTGTCTCTGCATATTAAGCTTGCGTAAGAGGAAGCATTTTAACATCTAATCTCTTCACTTTTAAAGGAAGCGTTTATGTTGTAGGAAAAAAAATAAAGATTCTCTCAAGAAAAAAAAAGCACTAAAAACGCAATGACCACTGAAGACCATGAGTGTTTGCCATTTTCCAGTGGGCCTTTACCATGCCACTGCCTTCGTCTTAAGCTCAAGAGGCGTTCCTGCGGTTGCAGCCAAGAGCTCTGACTAAGCAAACTTAAAACTGGCATCTCACAATGGCCACTTTACCATAGTTTTATCCTTTTTCCAGCAAGCCATTATATCAGTGGTGCTTGTGGATGAGGCGTATCTGATATCTCACGTCTGCATTTATGAAGCATTACCAGTTGTTTGCCTTAGTTGGGCTAAAGAAGGTCAAAAATGAGGGGGATGTTAAAAACTACTGCGTGTGTCAGTATGCCCCACCCTCAGCTGTTTCTATGACTAAAAAAGGTAGGAAAAAAATGAAAGAAAACCATAACATCATCTTCACTCCCTCCGCACAGCCATTAGACCCAGACCAAGCCTCAAAGAAACCGAGAGAGAAGAAGAGAAAAATAAAGGCTTAGACAAGAGAATACATTAAAAACATGGAGAGAGACAAAAGAAAACAGAATTGCTCACTAAGACATAGAAGACTCGATTGTCCATATAACTGGCCACAGAATAAAAACTTTCCTTGCTCTTAAAGGAACGGTTCATGCCAAAATTAATTCTGCCATGAGTCAGGACGCACCATATTTAATGTTTGACGGGAATGAAGACAGAAGTACAGCGCGTTCAATGGATTGTACTGTTATTAGACTAAACTGAATTATCAGTAAAGTAAACTGAGCTGAATAATTACACTATTGTCTTTTTCATTTTTAATGTTTTTTAAAGAAGTTTCTTATGCTCATCAAGGCTGTATCTATTTGATTAAAAATACAGAAAAAACTGTAATTTTGTGAAATATTATTATTATATTATAAAACAACAGTTTTCTATTTTAATATACTTTGAAATCTAATTTATTTCTGTGATCAAAGCTGTATTTTCAGCATCATTACTCCAGTCTTCAGCGTCACATGATCTTCAGAAATCACGCCGATTTATTATCAGTGCTGGAAACAGTTATAAAAATATAACTGAATATAACAAAATATGAAGTGCTGCTTCATATTTTTTGGGAGCTGTGATACTTTTTTTCAGGATTCTTTGATAAATAAAAAGTTAAAAAGAACAGTGTTTATTCAAAAAAGACATTTTGTGTCAATATACACTACTATTCAAACGTTTGGAGTCAGTAAATGTTTTCTTTCTTTTTTGTCTTTAAAGAAATTAATACTTTTATTCAGCAAGGACGTGTTAAACTGATCAAACGTAATAGTAAAGACTTATATTGTTAGAAAAGATTTCTATTTTGTATAAATGCTGTTCTTTTTAACTTTTTATTCATTAAAAAAAAGAGAAAAAAAAAGAAAAATGTATCACAGGTTCAAAAAAAATAAAAAATTTATCCGCACAACAGTTTCAACATTGATAATAAATCAGCATATTAGAATGATTTCTGAAGGCTCATGTGACACTGAAGACTGGTGTAATGCAGACAGTAAAATTGCCAGATTACCTTTTCCCGTCATTGTTTCCTAAAAAAATTAAGTACAGATTAACAGCTGTCAAGCTCCAAAAAGCAAAACAATAGTCCTTGTACTCTATACGCAATATCTTACAGTAGCTTTTAACAGACCCAAATTAAATTGATTATTCATCTTCCACTCTACTAAAGCTCATTTTTGGAGCTTGAAAGACATTATTACTATCTACTACTGTTGTTAGAAAAATCTGAGAGATGATTCTTATAATACTGTATTATGACAGCACTTTTGTAAAAAAACTAAATTTCAATATCGCGATAATACCGCATACCGTGATAAAAGCATTAGCAATTAATCGCAACATGAAAATTTGATACCGGCATATCCCTAACACAGAGACACGCAGAACATGCAGGATTACTATTTAAATAGTATTTTGTGGCTTAATATTCACAGACACTAGTCCATATCGTGTTTTGATTCAAGTGCTCTGACCTACTTTTGATGTATCTATCCAAAATTTGGCAAATTCCATTTTTATGACTGAATTCTGTGATTCCGTCCGTGTTTTCCGCATCGCAGAAATCATAGGGCCCTAATAGATAAACACGATCAATATTTTTCATATCGCAACTGCTGACGAATTCTATAATCGCACTTAATATCTACATTTTTGGATCCTCAACTTCATGCATTTTAAAATATTTTTATCACTATCGTCGTTTAACAAGCATCACGAACAGTATCACATCAATATTAAAATTTCTATTTTTTTGTGTTTTTTCAGGATAATATTAATAATTTTAGCATCATATTTAAAAGCTATTTAGGAGGCCTAAACTGCAAATTATCAGTATGTTTTGAAGCCATGATGGCGATGCACACACACTAAACTATTTTTAATGAGGACATTGCGGTACACACAAATTGGAAGTCTTTCCTCATTCAAAACGTTCTTCTGAAACTTTTCCAAGGCATGCAAGCACTGCATTGTTTCAGATGAAGTTTAAAGTTGGGAAAAGGCTTTCCCGACGTCACGATTCTTCCCATCTTACATTGAGCTTCTCTGGTTGTTGTTGTAGCAAAAATGAAAAAGGCACAACGTTTTACATGGCTTATTATCGTCTGCATGCCAAGACACACTTGGTGGATGATCCTATGCCTCAGATTCGTTGGAATCGAGTCTTCGCATGGAGAAACACTGAACTTAAAGGGCGGGTCCCGGCTGGTTAGTATGGATCCTGAGAGCACAGCGAGTCCCTTCATCTGTTCCACTGTGCTGTTGCAAAGGCTTATTGAGTGTGTTTTACAGAACCTACAGAGAAGTACTGTTTGTGTACATAAATGACACTGTTGTGTATTCTAAAGTTAACAAACTTCAAAACATCTTGGTCCAATTTTATCTTTGCTTATAAAACGGAGAAGCTTGCAGAATGCACCCTAAAGCTGAAAAACCTAAAAGCCAAACCTGAATTTTGATGTTTTTCCAAAGGATTAATCCCGCAACAGAGTAATCAGAGGAGAGAGAGAGAGATGTTGAATACAGTGGTGGCCAAAATTATTAGAACACAAGGTAAAAAATGGTTTTAAGTCAGTTATTTCTATCTTTTGCTGTAGTGTGTCAGTAGGAACTATCAGTTTACATTTCCAAACATTCATTTTGCCATTGTAATAATCCAGTGAGATTTTTGTCTGACAGCAGCCAGTGCTCCACACAGAGATCTGATCTGATCATCATCATACTGAAAGACAGGTGCTCACACACAGCAAACTTACTGGTAAATTACAGTTTAGAGATGGTGTATGAAAACATCCTTTAGAGAAATGCAAGTATTGCGATCCGTGAACGAAGCATAAGATTATTGGTATGTGCAGGTCAAGGTCAAGACATGCTAACGTAAGAAGTCTGCTTTGAATCAATCATAAAATTCGCGATTACTCCACACTGTATATAGCACAGCTGGTTCACAGAGAATGCATTTTTTGTTCCACTGCCTTTGCTTTTCTACGTAAACATGCACTAGACAAAAACAAACAAACACGTTTTTTTGAGATCCTGCCTTTTCCATTCATCACTGCAGCAGCTCTGCAGTTGGATACTATTGAATGGCATCTTATTTTTAAAAGCAAAAAAAACTTTCTGTGTGATCAGCCACATTTACTTTATCAAAGAACATCACATTATGACTTAAGCACTAAGAACACTCCCGTTATAATCAGTGAAGCTGTCCACACTGTATAATGAACGAATCTCTTACACACCCTGTGTGCATATCTGTACTTCGTTGTTTTACGATGAGAGAATTTGCGAGAGTTCAGAATTCAGTCAGTGATCAAAACTCATCTGAACGCCTCTGATTGCCATTGCATTCATAAACAGAATCGCATGTGATTGGTTATAATGCGCAAGCCTGTAAACGCGTAAAAAGAAATATGATGCTGAATGAACAGATCTAAATTTAACTTTAATTGACATTTTCCATTTCATTTACACTTTCTTCGTAAATCCGTGTAATAGATTTAGTTCAACTGTGCAAGCCGCCGTTAATTTCAGACCTGTGACACGCTCTGCCTATGGTTATAGGCACAAGAAAATAACACGTTTATGACTGAATTAATCATTTGATCAATTTCATCGTCATCTATTAATTTTTTATTTAAATCCTTATTAATTTCTATTGTGGTCTGCTTTGGCAAGTTGCTCATTGTCAGTACTGCACCATACATACGTTACTTTATAAACCACCCACTAATCTTAAAGGGGTCATATGACGTTGCTAAAAAGAACATTATTTGTGTATTTGGTGTAATGAAATGTTTATGCGGTTTAAGGTTAAAAAAACACATTATTTCTACAGTATAGGAAAATGTGTTTAGATTGTGTTTATTATTCCCTTTAAACTTAATTTTCAGCAAACATTACTCCAGTCTTCACATGATCCTTTAGAAATCATTCTAGTAGGTGCACAAGAAACATTTCTAATTATTATGAATGGTAAAAACTGTTGTGCTGTGTCATATTCACGTTTTTTTTTTTTTTTGGAAAACAAACCGTGATACACTGACATAGTACTTTTCAAGGATGCATTAAACTGAAGTGACATTTATAATGTTTCAATGTTTCTATTATAATCCAGGAATCCTTAAAAAGTCACCATTTCCAGAAAAATATTGGGCAGCACAATTGTTTTCAACATAGATAATAATCAGAAATGTTTCTTGAGTGCTGCTCGATAAACATTTCTGATTATTATCAATGTTGAAAATAGCATATTATTAAAGCATATTAGAATGATTTCTGAACTGACACTGAAGACTGGAGTAATGATGCTAAAAATTTAGCTTTGCCAAAGTTATTTTAGATTTTAATAATATTTCACAAAAAAGAGACTTCTCCCCAAAGAGAAGGTGTAAAGAACTGATTGGCATGAAATACAGCACTAACATTTACATCCCAATCAGTGATGGATGACGATTATTAGTAGTGCAACCTCTAAATCAGAGCCTAGTACACACTTCTGTTATGTTGTTAGCCCTTTAGTGTCAAAGAGAAGCAGAAGACATGCGTAGCTCAAAAGCACTTTGCTGATGAGGAGAATGAAGCGTGTTGTTGACCTGGTAGAGGTATCTCTGGTTGAACTGCTGCATGGCTCCCTGCAGCTGGCTGCGCTGAGACTGCCACTGCTCATAGTTGCGCACAGACTCGGCTGTTGGCCGCTGCCACGTGGTGGTTCTGGTGTTGTGATCCACATAGTAGAACCTGTCGCGCTGATCCACACGCTTCTCCCAGCTACAACAGACACGAATCATAGGTTAACACCAGCCCCAGATACGTGCATAAGAGGCCATGCACAAACACTCCCAGATGCTGTTCTTGTAGGGCACAACTTTTTGGTTTTTCAAATGCAATCTCGCAATAGACAGCATCTTTGACCTTTTGCCATGTTTTAACTTTTTTTTTTTTTCAGCATCTTGTGCCTTTAGACTAAAAGTAGTTCAGTTTTTAAAAAATGCCTCAAGAGCCTTCATTCTGTGTGAATACAGAGCTCCAGACGGTGACTACATGATTGCATTTTGTGACCTTTTCTCTTGCCAGAGCAACTAAATTTTGTTTGAGGTCACACTAGTGCCGCTACCAATTTACCTAACTAATATTTAAATTTCACCTATAAATAATTGTTTTTTGTTCATGAAAATAAATTTACATCTGCATACCAACTCAAGCAGTAGTCAAGCTACTGCCACTGAAAGCTCAAGCTCAAATGTGCATTTCCAAAAAAATAAAGATTTAAACGTAATAAAACTGTATTTCACCCTTTCGATAAAAATCCTAAAAAGGAATAAATCAAACACCTATGCCTGATTACCTCAAATGCTGTCTGATGCACCCGAGTGCACCTTCACAAAATATTCATTGATTTTAGCGAAATGGTAGAAAATCGGACCAATTGCATAGTTTATATACACTGTGGGGGTTGCTCCTTCACAAATAACATGAAAAACTGTATCAAGCATTTTCTAGCAAAGGAACGGAGAAAAGATTACAAATAGACTAAGTAACATCAGTTTGATTAACCTTATTAGATGTATGTATTATGTCAAATTCTTACATTTAATCAGAAAGAAAATTCAATTACAAATATAACTGCCAGGGGCGATCATCGGGGTCCAAGCACCAATGGACACCAAATCTTATCACGTGGATTTTACAGCAAAGTTCATCTTGAAACTTCACTGATTGTTTGGGTTTGATGAAGCAGGTCACAGGAACACACAACTGACTTCCAAAGAGAATCACTCCTTCTTAGTGTTAGATTACATTTTTTTTAAGACATGTGATCATAATATATGTGGTGTATTTGTGGACTCATATTAAACATCTACATTTACTACATCTACATTTTCAATGGCCAGTATCACACTTGCTGATATTCTATATCCATCAGTAAAAGCATGCATTTCAAGGCAGGTTTCATTTGCTTTTTGCAAAGTGAGTGACCTACTCGATAAAGTAAGCTTCCACATTGTTAAAACAACAATTACGATATTATCATAACCGATACAAATCACACAACCCTAACCTGAAATTGTTTCACCTTTTAGGGTGCTGAAATAAGATTTGATGCTAATGTGCAAATTGTTAGGGATGGATTGATCTTAGTAACTCCTTCCGTAAACATTATAAACACAAACATGTGATAAAGACAGATACACACCCTGGTGGGAGGGGTCTCTCCCATGTGGTGGTCTTTGTGTTGTGATCCACATAGTAGACTCGTCCATGAGGGAGAATTCGCTGTTCCCAACTACAAGAGATAATAAACACTGAGCAGACCGAAACGGCATGTGTTGAGGTTTAAATTCAGCTGCAGCTCTGTGACGTACCCAGCAGGCATTGCATCAGTGGTGTGTGTCTCTGTGGCTGTACTGCTCTGGTCGGTGGAGGATGGGGTCTCTGTGGCTGCTGGCGGGGCAGAACTGTCCATCTCAGCCGAGGGGGTTGAGCTCAGTGAGGGGGAGCCATTAGCAGCCGTCTCACCTTTACCTGAGCAAAGACCAATGAAAAATTGAACAACATCACACCAAAGCAGACCACTCAAAGAGTGTTTACTAGGGCCTAAGTAGGACGATATTTATATATTATGTCTAGGGCTGTCAGTTTAACACGTTAAAATTAAAATTAAAAAAATAACTCAATTAAAATATTTTAATGCAGTTAACGCACTGGCCCCGCCCCCAGACCTGTACGTCATCTTATATTTCATACAGTTGACTGTTGACAAATATGATGCAGGGCAACAACTCTTTAAATGCAGTTATGCCCTAAAATTCAAGATATTGGGGCAAAAATGCTCCTGTATGAGTTTTTGTCTCATATTTATATCATACGATAAGCGATAACACACGAGCCGCGAGAGCAGTATTAAACGAGTGGTGATTTTGTCCGGAATATAAGGAGTGCAAGTGTGATTTTATACAACAGTTTAGTAAATAAGAAGTTAATATTGTTTTATATTTTAAACCCAATATTATGTTATGAACATATTAGCTGAAAAGCCACAGCAGAACTGTTGTGCATCTCTGAGCAACACAGTGGTGTTTAGTTTCTGAATGAATCCGCGTTTTGAACGAATGGTGTGAATCAATGATTCAAAGGCCCATACAAAAACAGAGCCATTTACTTCATTCTTGAATGAATCAGCCATTTGAACAAATCAAATGAATGAATGACTCGTAAAGACATTTACTGCCACCTGCTGGCAGATTTAGTTTCTTATTTAGAGTATCATATCATGTTATCTGTCATCATTTACTCATTTACTCACCCTCATGTCCTTTCAAAACTTTCTTTTGTGGAACATAAAAGAAGGAATTTTGAAGACTGTTGGTAACAAATCCGTTTTATGACTTTCACTGTATGAACAAAAAATACTGAGATGTTTCTCAAATGATCTTCTTTTATGTTCCATAGTTTATGTTAGGCTGTTGTAGCCGAAATGTTTATGTATAATAAATGTTATTTTAAATTGAATAAAATATTTCTTTCTAAAGCTACAGTTGGTAATGTCTACTTGATACTTTCTCATTTAACACAAAAATAGCTTTAAATAATATTTTGTAGGTATTTTCACAGTAAAAAAAATTTTTTTTTTGACACGTCGTGTAATTAATTAGATTAAAATTTTTAATCGACTGATAGTCCTAATTATGTCATCATTTACTTCCACTCATTTCATTCCAAACCCATAAGACTGCGAAACACAAATTAGGATATTTTAAACGAAACCTGAAAGGTTTCTGTCCCTCCATTAAAAGTTCAGGTAACCAAAACATAAAAGATCCAAATATAGGTTATTAAAAAGGCATTATTTGAGCTTCCATGTTTGCCAAATATGATGCATCGCTGTAAAAAAAAAAAAAAGGTGTAGAAATAATTTTCATTTAGAAATTGCTAGTAAATTTCACAAATAATTACAAAGAAATGGCAAGCAACACATTGAATTGAATGTGAAACTGTGAAGTAGAAGAACTGAAGTAGTATTTTCTTGTAAAACATACTCCAGTAACCTTCGTTTAATTTAAAACTTCGACAAATTATATTTTTTTGCAGTAGCGACCTCAGAAACCTCTAATGGTGTGTTCACACCAGACGCAAAGCGAATATGCGCATCGCGTCACTCGCTCTAGATTACTCGCGGGATGTTTTTCGTGTCACTCGCGCGAATAAAAACACAGCGATTGACCATGCTGGAGATAATTACAATCGCTGTTTTGTACCTGTTGTCAAAAAGTCCCAAATACAATGGAAAGCCAAACGCCGACGTGTCTGGGTTCACAACACCATCCAGAGGAGGATGAATAACATTAGGATCCTGTATTAATGTGTGCGTTACATTTTACTACTGTATATATACACTGATATTACTATTATTTTTATTATTGATAGCATACAATATACATACAGCATAAATACAACTACCACTACAACTGATTTTAATTGTTTTCTATGCTCCAGACCTATATAATAACAGACGGCTGAAGAAAAATCTTCATTTGTGTTTTGAAGATTAACCATAGTCGTATGGGTTTGGAATGACATACAAAAAAGTAAATGATTACATCATTTAAATTTTTGGTTGAATTATCCATTTAGGTGTCAATCAACTGAGATTTTGCTATATGTTTTATATTGCGGACAGGAGTTTTTAAAGCGGACACTGGCACATCAGAGGAATAAAGAAGCATGGATGAATGAGAAAATAAAGGGTGGGATGCGCTTATTATTAAAAGCACAACAATTCTTACTGTCCTTACACGTTTTGTCAAAATATAAGCACCTCTGTGAATTAACCAGTGCTGTCAAATGATTAATCGCGATTAATTGCATCCAAAATAAAAAATTTTGTTTACATAATATATGTATGTGCACTGTGTATATTTATTATGTACATATAAATACACACACGTACAGTATATTTTGAAAATATTTACATGTATATACATTTATATTCTTATTATATTATATTTAATATATAAACATAACATTTTTCTTAAATATATGCATTCATATATTTGTATTTATATACACATAATAAATATACACAGTACACACACATATTATGTAAACAAAAACTTTAGCTCCTCTGATGTCCGCTGGAGAATCTCCACAAGAACCCACAGAATGAGCTAAACTTCTGGAAATGTATAAGAGATTCATATCAGACACAGCGTTGTTATTGAACATATGCGTGACGGTTATTTCTGTGTAGTTCCTGCCATGCCTCAGTGAATATGTTTAATTATGGGTATGTCCAACCTACCTGGACATGGAGCAAGTATTTTAGTAAACATCCTGTAACACTCCCACGGAGGGTGCACACAATTTGCTAGATTGCCCAAGCCAATTCTATTATTTGGGATCTTAGGCCTAGACTGACTAGATAACGTTTACGACCAAAATTTTTAAGTAACACATTTGCTTGCCAGTCATGATTATTTGGGACATACTGGTGGGTTTGGCAACTCCTGGTTTGATAGAACTGACCGTTTTGTTCTTTTAATTGTACAATTAAGCAACAGAATTTCTTACAAGTAAAAAAAATGTTTTTAATTTACCCACCCACCCACACATGTTCTCTCGGCACAATTCAATCATAATAAACAATTGTGTGCGCGATACACAGGAGCAGTATGCAACAAAGAAGCTGATATGCTCTACATTTTTCTTCATTTATTAATTTAATTATTTAACATTTGTTTTACAACAGCTACAAATATGATTCTGGTGTTGGTTCCACAGAAGTTCAAAATAAGAGAAAATAACCAAAAAAAAACAAAAACAAACTAACACTAGCTTGCTCTATTCTTTTTCTATTCTATGTGTTTTCTTTTTATTATATAATTTTAAAAAAACTAAAACCTTGCTATGTGTGCTGCGTTAAGCTAACTGAGACTTGTTATAGCACTTGCATATCATTGCTCTTTTGTTGATTTTGATTGCTTCCATTGTCCTCATTTGTAAGTCGCTTTGGATAAAAGCATCTGCTAAATGACTAAATGTAAATGTAAAAATTGCATAAAGCACCTTTCAGTGTATTCAATTCACTGGATTACTCAAAAATATTGGTCATACCACTAACCCCTAACACCAACAGCCCATTTAGGATATCATGCACAGAAAACAAGGCTGTGCTCACCAGGACATTAGAGAGACAGGACAACAGAAGACATGAAGCAGGAGAAGCAGAAACTACATAATGAATAATCAGTGATTAACAACGGTACAAAGAGAGATATTTGTGCTGACCGTCCACGGGGGCTGCTGGTACTCGGGCTCTCCTCACTATGATTAGACCTGCTCGAGTGAACCATCTCTGCACAGACAAAAATACACAAAACATCATTAGTACTGATTCACATACATCACGCAGAAAGGTTTGCCATTCCTACTCGGTGACCATGTGTTAAAAACCAGTGATGCATCTAAAATGACCTACTTTTCATGACTGCATGATTGATAATTTCACATATTTGTTTACAAAAGCACAAAAAGCATCTAATGCTCCAAAAGGTACAGAGACACCAAAGCACAAATTGGAAAGCGCTGGTCATAATATTACTCAGAAAACATCATGAAGTTGAAGTGATCTGCATTAAAATGTGTTGTGTGTTGAGTGACACAATATAACAGAATATATTGAGAGAGAGCTGACAAACATACTATTACGCCCATGCATTTATGAGCTCAGTTCTGGTTTAATTCTGGTTATATTCAGTTTTCAGCATTTACGCCAGATTTTCATGTAATCTATTGTACGTTACTGTCTAACGTCTATTAGTTTAATATTTAAGAGAGTTCACTCTCATGTCCTTCTAAGGGTGTAAGAAAGACACCCTCATGTTGATCCAAACATGAATGGCTTCCTCTCTTCCTTGGAGCAGAAAAACGTGATGCTTCTGAGATTTTTTTTTCTCGTATAAATGTCCATATGACTGGTGTGCTATAGTTCAAGCCTGATCATGTCATACAATACTTATAATATTTCTGTCCGTTTCTCACACAAATTTGTTGTTCAGTATATGGAAAAAAACAATGAAAATATCTCCTTTTCTGAAAATTGTAGTTTGGAATCCCATGAGAGGAAAATTCTTGGATAACCATGGCTTTAATACTAACATGCATCTGAAATTTAACAATATATTTTGACGCTGCTTATGTTGTTGCTCTTAATGAATCATGTGTTTGCATTTTCTGTTTTAAGTAGTTTAACATGAAAGTATCTATTAATAAAAGGCTTGCACTTGTAAAACTCAAATGGAGCAGCATTAAACCTTTTATTACAAAAATCACAAGTTACTGTAAGAACGTTTGAGACTTAGTAAGTTTGAGCAAACGTTTCTGTTTACTGAATGTGTGTGCCATTCTGTCGTTCCCCAGGTCTGTACACAAAGAACTGTTTATGTAGTGCATGCGTTTCATAAAAAAACTGCCAGGGGAAATGAGGGAAAACATTAAACCAACAGGAGCGACTTCAGAGCGAACAGAGGACCCTAACAGACCTGCACACACTCAACCTTTATCCACCGCTGAAGGTCAAACACAAACTCACACGCCGAGAGAAAACACACTCCAGATCTTTATACTGTACGTGGCTAAAACCAGGATTTGAGAGCCCATAAGCATATGTGTGTACAATGAGTAACTGAAAGATAAAGTTAGACAAATCACTGAAAAAACAAACACAACAAAATCATATGCAACAGATGATTCATCTCCAGAACAACATTAGACACATGCATAAGAAGCATTTACACTCAGAGCTTGTGTTGGTGTTTATTACAGCCTCATTCATGGTTTAAGCAGCTCCAAACACGTCCATATTTCAAACTGTGTTTACAAAAAAGACTTTCACAAATAAATGCAACACATGCATTCGACCAAAGTCAGAGAAATTTCAGAATGACTAAAACTGCATGAGTAGCATATTAAATGTAGGACTGACAATTATTTGCTCATCAATTAATTTGTTGATATCTGTAGTTATTAGGGCTGCAAAATGATTAATAAATCGCATTCAAAATAAAAGTTTGTTTACATACTATATGTGTGTGTACTGTATATTTATTATGTATATATAAATACACACACGTATATGTATATATTTTTAAAATATTTGCATGTATATATATTTATACTTGTATATAATTTATATTATATATAAACAAATATTTTATATATAAAGCTAACATATTTTTCCTTAATATATACTGTATGTGTGTGTATTTATATATACATAATACATACACACAGTACACACACATATAGTATGTAAATAAACTTTTATTTTGAATGTGATTAATTGCGATTAATCGCGATTAATCGTTTTGCAGCCCTAGTAGCTATGCAATATTGGACATATATTTTCTCAGCTAGTTTTTTCTCCCATAAATGACAATCTTTGCACATGAAACCCAATAAATAGCAGTAAAATCTTTTCCAGTAAATGTACTACAAATGTAGTTCGCATAGACTGATGCTTTCCGTCTTTTACCCAAACTGCTATCATTGACAGCTGTTTTCATTATAGCATCTATCCATATTGACAATGTTTTTATTTGAGACAGAATGTGGCAGGAACAGCTCATCTGTAAACTAAAGACACAACACGACTGCAATGGACGCAATGCAAAGGACATCTCTGAGAGACGACTGATGCACCATCATGTTTACAAATGATCTCTAAACAGAAAAATGCTGTCATTTTCCAAGCTGTATTAGTGAAAATTGTCTTTGATGCTTATGTACTTGGCATTTTGTTCAAAATATTCAGAAAAATCTGACCTTTATTGAAGTGACTTTTTTTTTCTCCAAAACGAGTACCACAAATTACTGGCATGACTAAAAATTCCTAACTAAAACACATTCCCATTAATTTTATAGTTTCTTGTGTGATTATGAATACTTCAGTGGTGAGACATGACTTCTTCTTTCGGGTATAAATGTGAGGTGACCAAATTCCTCTTTTCCATTGTGTTGGAGAGCTACACAAATCAGGAAATGGCTAAAGTAAAATGAGCCAAATTGTTGAATTTCCATTATTAGAGCAATAATTAGGGAGTTAAAATCTATTGGAGATGTTAAGAATCAGCCTGGAAGAGGACAGGTCTTCACTGACACCACACACAGCGAGGAGGATGACTTGAATGAACAACAAGTTTCACATAATAATGATTGCATGGTTTATTTGTACTTATGCACCAATTGTACTGATATTGGTGTAGGGAACTGTGTGTTTATGTAAGGAATTACTGACAACAGGCTGTTAAATCATTGAAAAAATAAAGCACAACTCGGGTGGTAATGTGGCCACGAGGGGAAGACTGCTTCAAAAATATCAATACTACCACCTCACTACTAAAAAATGTCATGCACCTCTTCAGTAGCAAAGACATTTTATTGAAGTCGTGGGGCAGCACTGACCACAAGCCTTTGTTGCATGAATTTCTGTGTGCACAACGGTCTGCATGTGTGTGTGTGTGTGAGTGAAAGAGCATGCTTTGATAGACAACCAATCATCCTACTGTTAGTGATATTTATTGTCTTTGTTTTTTTTTTTCTGTGGTAATTCTTTAACTGAAATAATTTGGCAAAGTGATACGGAACTGTAATGTCGGAGCTACTTTAACTGCGCAGTTATTGCGTGTAAGCCAATCAGATTCGAGCATTCTAAAATGATCAAGCAATAATTAAGCAAAATGGTATGGAAGGCTGTGCTATATTGGAGTAAGCATTAGAGACGGGGCGCCAGAACAAACAAACACAGCTGGCAGTGTCTTCAATTAAACAGCATTAGTCTGCTCGGTTGTCTTCTGCAAGAATGCCAGTGTAATCTGAAACTGTCTGTAACACACTGGGTATTATTACAGTCATCATAATCGATTATTAAATTATGGAATCGATGCATTGAATTTTCAGTAGTGCTGTCAAACGATTAATCGCGATTAATCGCATCCAAAATAAACGTTTTTGTTTACATAATATGTGTGTGCGTACTGTGTATATTTATTATGTATATATAAATACAATATATTATATAATTTATATGAATATAAATATATACATGTATATACATGTCAATATTTTCAAAATATATGCTGTATGTGTGTGTGTCTTTATATAGACATAATAAATATACACAGTAAACACACACATATATTATGTAAACAAAAACTATTATTTTGGATGTGATTAATCGTTTGACAGCACTCATTTTCAGATACATTTTTACACCCCTTGCCCTGTATAAAATTGTGTAGAAATGTAGTATTTATGCACATCTTCCTTAAACCTTGAGTATGAGTGTACACATCTTCATTATATTCAAATGTTTTTAAAGGTAAACAGAATTTTTATACGTATTATTAATCATTAATGCATAAATATCTATTTAGGAATTAATGTTTTTGAGCAGTCACACCACATATTAATTCAAATCAATATTTCATGCTGACATATTTATTTATTTGACAGGTAGCTGTATAACGAGTAATATAATCTACAATACAAACCCCATTATTTCGTTATAGGTATTAGGGTTGCAAATGGGGGGAAGATTTCCGGAAACTTTCCAAAAATCCCTGGAATATTCCAAAAAATCCTGGAAAGTTTCCAAACATTTCTGGAATATTTCCGAATACACCTCAAAATATTTCCGAAAGTTCCACCTTTTTGCAACCCTAGTTAGGTATATGACATTAACAGGTTGGGGTTTAGCCATGGGAACATTTTGCAGGCAACATCTCAACCATCCCATCCATGGAAAATATAAAACACTTCTGAAAACGTGTCCCACGTGTCGGTTCAGAGACTTCTCTCCTCATGGCTTTAAATGAACATTAAATAGCTATATGTTGACTGACTGCTGTGCTGATGGCACACGTTTTACCAGCTAGAGACGGTCGTTCACAAACTAAACTCAGGATACCAGTCTTTCTCCAGTAACCAGTGTTGGGAAGGTTACTTGGGAAATGTAATAGGTTACAGATGTTACCCTATTTAAAATGTAACAAGTAGTGTAACTATTTCAATTACTTTATTAATGTAACTGATTACTTTTTGATTACTTTTCTAACTTTCGAATCAATGTTTTGAACTGTTAATTATTTTGAAACATGTAAAGCAGCAGGGTTAACCTTACAGTAGAGCTCAACACTAATTACTATCAGACTTTTAAAATCCTTCATCACTCGAATTAAGATCATAATAATTAAATTTTAAAGCACAGCCAACACAAAATCAGACTTTAGCACATCTTTTTACTTTGAGATCATTCTGAGGTTAAATACAGATTTATCTTCATAACAAGATATAGTTCAACAGCAATGATACTGTTTTTGAAATCAAATCTTTGCATAGCTATGACAGCAAACACTGGCATCTAACAATGCCTTGGAAAAACAGTTATTCAAAAAAAAAAAAGCATATACATAAACCCAAATAGGAAATAAAACAGTTATAGAATAAGCATGTGTCCTAAACTCCTGAAACATTGGTGTCTCATATTTTAAAGCAGTCAATGCAATTTGGGAAAGAAATCAATCAAATCTGTATCTGTGTGAAAATATTCAGATGTAGCCCCCTTTGCAATCGTTAACATTTTCCTAAGCAACTGTAATTTAATTACATTTTTTTCTCAGTAACTGTAGATTACGGTTACATTTATTTTGTAATTAAATGACGTACTTCAGTTACATGTAACTAGTTACTCCCAACACCGGCAGTAACAGACTCAATCTAGCAGCCGTGCACTGTCTAACTGACACATGGCTCCTTCCCAGAGCAACTTATTTCCAAGCAAAATGAGTGTGCATGAGTCTGAACAGATTAGGATTGTGAGTGGTCAGAAAACCCAGTGACCTCCTGGGCTGTGTTTGTCAGCTGTGAGTACACAGAAGAGAAAAGCTCTCTTGTGAGCTTTCGCTGGGTCTCCTCTGGTCAGATTCGACTCTTTCCATCCCAACCCCTCTCACCACAACCTCCTCGATTCCTGCATTTAGTTTAGGTGGAGTCACAGCCAAGGCTTTGCGCACTCATGAATGTGCATTTGTTCATGTGTTCTACGAGTGTTTTCTATGAAGTGTGCATGTGTGTCTGTGAACAGGACTTACTGTCTGGGGCAGCGTTGCCACTGGGCAGAGATCCTAGATCAACAACCAGGCCATCCAGACAGACGTTGAGCTCACCTCCTGCTACAACCGAGCCTTTGTTCTCGGTCTGTAGAACCAGACTGAGCTGAACATTCTCCACTGCCAGTCAAACAGATACAGAAAGAGAGAGATTTAGTGCTAGCAAATACATTCGTTTTTCAGTTTCTTAAAACCTACATTTCATTTACATTCATGACATTTTATTTGACTGATTCTTGGTTTTGGCAACACACTCAGTAGTTCATATTTTGTGTTTTAAAATAGCAGGGTAGAAGTGAAACTGGTTTAAAAGGGTTTGAGGGAGAGCTCAGCTGTTCATTTCAATCTATCCCATATTAGAGCATGCGCTGACATAATAATAACTGCTGTCGGAAACTTATACAAGAACAGCAAACATTAAAACACTATGTCTTTATCTTGTTAGGGAAGCGTTAAAGAATCAGTTCAATCAAAATTAAAATTCTGTCACGATTTACCCTCATTTCCTGTATGAATCTCTTCCATGGAACAAAAAGGACATTAAACGCATCCTGTCTTGTAGAAATTAAAAAAAATAAAAACTGTCAAGTTTCAAACAATGTGAAGGAGACAGCTGACTCAGAAACAACTTGACCAAAAAAAAACTAGGACTAACATTGTGGAGTGACGCTGCTCAAAGTCAAACCTCAAACCCTTTCAGGAAAAACACTGCACTGAGCTGAAAGGAACATGTGGTAAGTTTGTACAGACTTCGTCAAAAGACCCAGCACTGCAAGAGAATTAATTACAGGAGGTCACATGTTTTCAATCAGAGACTTTTCCCCTTCTAGTATAAAGCATAAAAAAATTGTCGGTTAGGTGTTATGAACTGTCTGAGGTGATCAGCACAGATTTGAACCTTAATATTAGGGCTGGGAAAAACTACTTGTTGATTTTTGTGAATGATATTTGTTGTTAAACACATTAAAATAATTAATGCAATTAACACAGATTGTTTTTTCAATTCCTATAGAGTTTAGTCAGGGTAGCGTGGTATTTAGTGTTTGACAGGAATGAAAACGAGGCTGTGAGTGACAGAAGTACAGAGTGTTCAGTGGATTGTAATGTTGTTTAACAACATGCCAGCTGATCAGCTGATGATGACAGTTTTTCCAAAAAACTAATATACACTCACGGTATGCTGTAATACTACCCAAAACTCATATACCTGCATTTCTGATGGCATTGATTTTGCCATTACTTGTAATTGGATTATTACAATTAATGGCAACATTAATTAGGGCTGCACGATTATAACAAAAATCATAATTGTCGATTATTCCCTTGAAATTGTAATCACAATTTACATTGAATGATGTTTATACCATTGTTTGATGCAAGTGCATGCCGTAATTTTATATGAAAATAAACAAGCTGAAAACACTAACTGAAAAACTTGCTTTTCTATAGTATTAAGCCTCAAATGTCAATTATACATCAGATTGGTTTCTTCTTTAAATTATAAAAAAGTAAAAAATATGAATGGTATTATAATGTCATACTAAAACTAAAATTAAAATAATGGGAAAAACCCTTAAGATAACATGTAGAAGAAAAAAACGCATCTTAAGCGTGCAGAATAACATATAATGTTTGGAAATGTAAACTGATAATTCCTACTGACAGACTACAGCAAAAGATAGACATAACTGACTTAAAACCATTTTTACCTGGTGAAAATACTAGTGTTCTAATCATTTTGGCCACCACTTTACGCATATACAGTGGGTACGGAAAGTATTCAGACCCCCTTAAATTTTTCACTCTTTGTTATATTGCAGCCATTTGCTAAAATCATTTAAGTTAATTTTTTTTCCTCATTAATGTACACACAGCACCCCATATTGACAGAAAAACACAGAATTGTTGACATTTTTGCAGATTTATTAAAAAAGAATTCGATTTCAGAATCGCGCAATAAAATCGATTTTTTCAAAAAAATAATTTTTTTTGTGTAACTTGTCAGTGAACTACGGCTATGTGTAGTAAATTCTGCTCCA